GTTGTGCAGGCGGTTGATTTTTAGACTTCTAGCTAAAATTGGGGTGATTGCGCCATCCCGAATTATAGGTATCAGAGTAAGGTATAAAAGGTTTCTTGTACATACCTAAGGCATTACATTGTTCCTCATTCATCCCTCTCATCTCAGCGAGTGTGAGACATTCTTGGGCAAGGTGATCTACCCCGCCACACACAAAACATGGTCCAAAAGACTCTACATGATTAGCCATGTGTGTTGGCTTTAAGTCCTTAATCTTTAACATATCTAGCTCCCTAGTGAGCATTTCAACCTTAGCCTTTAGGCTATCCTCTTCCCTAAGATGGTAAATTCCACCACCATTTGGGTTTCCTGCAGTTCGTGACCTATCTGTGCTTTCAGTGGCACTAGGTCTAGTCCAAGTATGAGCTTTTTCAGCAAACTCATTGAGGTATTCTATGGCCTCATCATGATCTTTTTATAAGAACTCATCATTATACATCATTTCCACAAATTGGCGCTCTCTAGGTGTAAGTCCCTCATAAAAATAGCTCACTAAGCGCCAATTCTCATAATCATGGTGAGGACATACACTCAACAACTCCTTAAATCTCTCCTAAGACTGATACAAGGTCTCACTATCCTTTTGTGCAAAGGTGGAGATTTGTCTCTTTAAAGCGTTGGTCTTATGTTGAGAAAAATATTTATTAAAGAAGACCTGAGTCATCTCACTCCATGACCCAATAGATCGTGGTCTCAGTGAATATAGTCAACTCTTAGCTCTATCCTTCAAAAAAAAAGGAAAGAACTTAAGTTTCACAACATCATCAAGTGCAATTTGATTATGAATAGTCGCAACTACTTCCTCAAACTCCCTAATGTGCACATATGAATTTTCATTTTTCAAGCCATGAAAATTAGGGAGTAACTGTATTGTCCCTGTTTTAAAATCCAGTTGACGAGTATTAGCTGGAAACATGATGCATGATGGTGTGGCTGTGCATGTAGGGTGGAGGTAATCATGAATAGTTCTAATGGGTTGATTTTCGTGTTCACCTATTTTTTCGGGACTTGATGAATTTTCAAATCAAATATTTATAAAATCTGATTCTAATTCTACCAAAGGCCTACTAGCAAATCTACCTAAGGTGTCCCTATATTTGTGCATGCGCGGCAATGGAATACTAAAAGGATAAAAATACTATAAAAAGAAAGAATAATAATAATAATAATAATAATAATAATAATAATGCAACAAACTAAAAGAAGGAACGAAGTTACCGCTTTTGCAGACTGTTAAAAAGAAAGACTATCTACCAATTCTTCTACTGTCTCCTCGGCAACGGCGCCAAATTTTGGTTATGCCCAAAGAATAACGCAGTAATTGTAGCACAGCTTTGGGGTGTCGATTCCACAGAGAGACAAATTAAAAGAATAATAGAATGGACAAAGAAACTAAAGAAGAATATTAAATGACTATTAGATAATAAATATTAATTTTAAATGCAAATTAAAGTGAAACAAGTGACTAACGGAAAAAGTATTCAAATTTGACAAACAGTAAAGCGTTGGAAATCCCTGGCACAAATCTAGTATTTTAATTATTCTTAATTCATTGAATAACTCAATTGAGAATTTAATTCCCAAAATTTCCAACCGGAAGATATAGATTTATAAACCAAGATTAAACTCAATATAACCCTTTGAAAAATCATTCACCACTTTTAAAATACGTAAATTATTATCACTATTGAGAAAATTCAACAACGACAATATACTCAAGAAAGCAATGTTGCAGCAAAAAATTAAATCAATATAGATAAATAATTGATCCAAACATAATCAAAAAATTAATCCATTCAATAGAAAAAACATGACTGAATCCATAAATATAATATATTCTATGATTATTTGTAGAAGAAAATATCAAAAATAAATTAAGAATGATAAAACAAAAGAGTTTTAGTAATTAAAAATCAACTGCATAAATTAAAAATAAATAAAATATCATCTACTGTGTAAGTTCATCACTAGCCTTACTTGAGAAATTAGTTACCCATAAATATGATGGACAACGAAAATCTTCCAAAGAAATTAAACAAACTGGCAGCCATCGAAATTATTTATACTCCTGATCGGCGTCCGTCTTCTTCTGCCCAGCCGCCTCCTCTTTTCTTTTTCTTTTCTTCTCCAGCTGCCACACACCAGAGAAAAGCCCTTAAAAGGCCAGCTCTCTGTTTCAGCCCCCAAAACCCAACGTTTGTGTAATTTGAAGAAGATAAAGTCTAATAAAAATTATAAGTGTCGGGCCCACGTGACAGCAACATCAATTTCAGTCTTTTTATTCCATGGACTGCCATAAAAAAAAAACAAATATAAAAGCCCAATAATAAAGTCTCAAAAATATTAAACGTAAAGTCCAATTGTAAATTATTTCTCACTAACCAATAATGTAATATTTAAGATTTAAAATGTTATAAAATCATGCTCAATTATATCTCAGTGTGAATAGATATTAAATTCAATAATATAAATTATATCTAATTATTTATATTCATATTTCAGCAATTTAATCCAATAATAGAGTATTTAAAATACATTTTCGTGCACTTATAATGACCCATAAAAAAAAATGTCGGATAATTGGATCGAACTTAAAAAATTGTCGGATTCATGTATAATCTCTTGACAAACCTATGGCCGTAAGGTGGTATATTACAAGTGTTTTTTTGGCATTTTTTCTTTCTTTTTTTGGGGGTTTGGGGAGGGGGTTACCAAATACTCAAAATGACCCCAACTGGGAAGTTGCCCAAAAACATGGAATTGAAATTTAAACGAGATCCTAAACTTAGATTGTTCATCGTCAAAATTCTAGGGAGGAGTCTTGATTATGTTAAAAATATGAGCCGAGCTCCATCATGTCGTCCTGCATGCAACATTCCTCGCTAGGGCTGCTGATTCCTTTCGTATCCTATCAGAACTGTCAAAATTTAGACAGTTCTTATTAAAAGCTTGGAATCATTCCTCCACAGCAAAACCTCCACGTTTCATCGGTCTTCCAACAAATATTAACTGTTAGAGATTGGCACAACTGAAGCAGAACGCCGTTTACCTCGTATAGCAAATATAATTATGTTGATTCGATTATTCATTCATTTGAACCAATGCTTTGAACCAAATAGACTTCTTTTTAAAAATGTGCTGAAATCAAACTTTTGGAACATTTGGTACTTGACATAATAAGTAGAAATCAGAAGCTCCCACGTGATTCCATTTCCATATTACATTTGAGACATCATATATATTCATCTATCTATATAATAAAATACAATAAAATTAAAATTTAAAATTTAAAAAATAAATAAAATAACTTTTACTATTCGCGGTTGAGAATCGCTTTAAATTTTACTTTAAAGTTAATCTAACGGTTAATATTAACACCTTAAATTTAATAGGAAAAATCGATCCCTAAGGATGTATTTGAAATGACTTTTTAAAAGTATTTTTAGAAATTATTTATCATAAATATTTTATAAAAAAAATACTGTTTGGAACCGCTTCACCACTACCTCTGCCACCACCACTGCCGTCGCCGCCACCACCACCACCACCATCGCCGCCACCACCCCCACTGCCATTGCCCCCGCCACCCCCCACCACCACCATCGTTGTCGCAGCCGTCACCACCACTACTACGGTCATTGTCACCCACCACAACCATCACCGTCTCCTCCCACCACCACTGTTGCCCACCACCTCTTTCCCCAACTACAAACCGATGTTTAAATTCTTTTATCTCTTCTCTATATGTTTGTGATTTGATTTTGAATATGAATACAAATATATTTATTATTTATTAATTTTTATTACTTTGTGCCTTCAGACACAGACAATAACTAGTTTATATAATAAAGTAGCTTATAATTCAAATCTCAAAAGATAAACAAAATGAATTTTGTTATTCGCGGTTAAAATTGCTTTAAATTGTACTTTAAAGTTAATCTAACGGTTAATATTAACACCCTAAATTTAATAGAAAAAATAGACCTCTAAACTTTTTAAAAATACTTCTAGAAATTATTTCTTATAAATATATATTTTTTTAAAAATAGTGTTTAAAATCGTCTCACTACCACCATCGCCGCCCCCACCCTTGCCACCTATTACAACTATTACCACCACCACCACTGTCGTCCACCACCTCTCACCCCCACTACAAATCGATACTTAATTTTTTTTTATCTTTTCTCTATATTTGTGATTTAATTTTGGATATAAATACAAATATATTTATTATTTACCATTTTTTATTACTCTGGGTTTTCAGGCACAGACAATAACTAGTCTATTCTATATAATAAAATACAATACAATTTAAATTTTAAAAGATAAACAAAATTACTTTTACTTTTCGTGGTTTAAATCTCTTTAAATTTTACTTTAAAATTAATTCGACGATTAATATTAACATCCCAAATTTAATAAAAAAAATAGGCCCATAAAAATGTGTTTAGAGTAATTTTTTAAAAGTTCTTTCTAAGATTTATAACTTTTCATAAATACTTTAAAAAAACATAATAGTATTTGAAACTGTATCACTACCACTACTCCCACCGCCCCACCACCACCACCACTGTCGCCACCACACCACCACAACTATCACATCTGTCACCCCACCACCATCATTATTCCTATTATCCTACCAATACCATCATCACCACTGCCACCACCCTACCACCACCGTTGTCACTCCACTACCACCTCTTCTACAACAACCATCACCATCATCGTTGTCACCGACACCACCACCATCACTACCACCGCTCGGCCCAATTACAATTTGTGTTTAAATTTTTTTTTCTCCTCTATCTTTATAATTTAATTTTACGTGTAAATACAAATATATTTATTATTGACTATTTTTTTGCATAATTTTGTACCTTCAGACACGAGAAATAACTAGTACACATATAATTTACAAGTTATCCATACATATGTAGTGGGAGAGTCGCGATTAATCAATTACATGGGAAAGCTGACAATGACAGCTTCAACCAATAGTTTCTATTTAGCAGAAATCAGAAGTTCCCACATGATTCCATATTACATTTGAGATATCATTCATACACATATATAATTCACAAGTTATACATACATATTTAATGGAAGAGTCATGATTAGTTAATTACATGGGAAAGCTGACAATGACAACTTCAACCAATGGTTTCTATTTACAGATTTCATCCTCCTGAAACATCTGGAAAACAACAAAATAACCTTGTTCAATCCAGTACCAACCCACAGAGAGAGCAACCACAATTATCCACTACGTAAAATAACACAAGGAAAGAAAACAGACCTTAAATCTGCTATGTCCAATTCCTCTTGGAACGAAATTGAGTAAGTTTGTCCCTCCACTGAGCTGTAATAGATTATCAGAATGATGAGGTATCAAAAGGTTTAATATCCATGAGGAAGATAAATTACACAAGACAACAAAATGGTGAGTTCTGGATTTCGGAAAAGCATCTAAGAAACTAGGAAAAAAGGCCCAAACATAATAGGGCAGAGACATTGGGTGCTGGGATATCCAACTGGTGCCCTACATTATAGGTAAACGTTGGGAATACTGAGCAGAAAAAACAGCTTCAATCCCCATTAAGAGTGAAAAGAAGTAATATGGTCAATTTTGAGAGATAGAGAGAGAGAGGGTACTGTCATTTAAGCATATCACAGCTCCGCCCAATTGATTGGAATAAGACAAGTTGTTTGCTAATATCTCAGGGTTGTGCCTTCATTTGCATTTTACATTACCAGATCCTTATTTCCTCTTTTGTGGTAGGTGCTCTAAATCACATTCGCTGTTTTCTAGAAGAAGCCCACAGAGACAGAAAAAGAGTCTCTTATCCCTGTTTTGGTTGGGTTGGGGATGTCCTCTCCATGCGCCAAAAAATTGGCCCATTTTGCATCCATCAAAGCTATAATACAAACCAAAAAAGAAGGGAACAAAACATACCTGCATCCTTATAGCGTTCCTCAACCACAGCAATCAGCATGTTGCGCACAAGATCAAACTCTTCTGTCTCAATGCATGGCTGGCCACTGGGTCTGAAACCATAATACCTTAAATTAGAAGTTTTAGCCCCTCCATGCAGAGAAGCACAGTTTAAACATACAGATCCAAGCCCTCTCACACTGGATAGTCTGGTCATACTGTTAAAAACCCTAAGGCTTCCCAGGCATGGTAACACAAGAGTGCAAATCTCAATAGATGTTACCATATGTGTGCGTCTCATTATGAAAACCAACAAAAATACTATTTTATACATTTCCAGATCTTTCCATTCCTGTGGGTTGATTAGTATATACAAGTCACGACAAAGTTCCATTCCTGGGTGTTGATTCGGATCAAAATCTGATCCATAGACAAGCCTACTACAAAATATGACAAAATTAATGCATGCACTGAATGCATAGACTTGCCCCCATCTAAAGAGATACAGAAATTGAGGGATGTGAAGTCTACCGATCTAGTTCTGTGAAAAGTAAGCCATCTGAAGATGATCCCTGCAATGAAGGCCTTGCAGATTCAATCACTCGCATTCCATCACCATATGCCAAGTATCTGTTGACTTGTATTGGCACCTACAAAATTATGAAAATAACAAAAGTAAGATTTAATATTCAGAAAAACCATCAATAAGCAGCGTAACACATAGTTCAACTCCTGCAGAGATTCAAAATATTGGATAAACTACATCCTTAATAGTAAACAAATGCTACAGAAAACACAGCAGCAAGCCAGCCAACCACTTGCTAGCTTAACATAACCAGCCACTTCCCACTGCCAGATGGTAATGGCTTTTTTATCATTATCCTGACTGTACCGTCAAAAGTCAAGTCCAATGTATGTGGGAAGAGAAGGAATTGTTGTGTGATTTGGAGTAAGTCCAAAAAATGAAAACCATGCAAGTCCATTCCTCAGTACAAAATCACTCTTCCATCTCCTATCTTTATCAATATAAACCTCTGGAAAATCACAGAAATTCCCAATTTCTCAAACATGTGTCATATATAGTCCAATTCCAGATAAAACTTTGAAATCATGAATTGAAATCAATATGACTCCCATCATCGTTGGCAAGAACTGGAAAGAGGGAGCAGTCCACCAACTTCAACAGTCAAGGTACTATTACCCAGTAACCAACGACAGAATAGAGAGAAAACAATTAAGTTTGTAAGTAAACCAAGAGTTTTATCTCTTTTTCTCTTCATTCGCAATGCATTTAAACTCATCTATGAATATGCCAAAAAGATTCTAGGCACAAATGGAATAGAACCTCAATAGCAGCCGCTGCCTTCCTCATAGTCATATATTCCAGATGTATGTGTTCTTTGTCCAATAGAGAGCATTCCCTCTCTAAAATTGGTTTACAAAATGCAATTTAGGCAACATGCAAAGGATAGTTCTTTCATCACTACAAAAGATTGTAGAATTCCGATAGCCGTTAATGTATGTCATCTGTAATCCTGTATTAATAATCTCGTAGAACTTTGCTACTGTAAAGTGATCATCACATCATGAGATAGTAAATAAGGGATACTACCTTGCATCTCACTGCAATATTGATGGCATCTGAAGGTCGAAGGTCAAAGCTGACACACTCTTTTTCATCACCCGGCTGAAAGATCACAACCACAAAAATCTACTACTATGAGAAAATTTTACAGGTCTACAACATAATCAATCAAAAAAGGAGTGTTAGAGGCCATGCCTTCATGAGGTATAACTGAGCAAAATAGGCCTCATTTACTCTCTTGGTGACTCTAACAAGTTTCACCTGCATAGAAAATGTGAATGGAAGTCCATTAAAAAAACTGAGCAAAATATGCCTCATTTACTCTCTTGGTGACTCTAACAAGTTTCACCTGCATAGAAAATGTGAATGGAAGTCCATTAAAAAAGGGGCTAATCTCACTTTGCACCCTGAAAGATGCTCCAATTCTCAATTTACACTCTTAAAGAATTGGATTCTCAAATTGCACCCTCAGATATCATAAAATAGATGCAATGTAGCCCAATTCAAGGGTGAAATTTAAGATTGAAGGTGCAATTTGAGATTGAAATAAGGCCAAATTGCATCTGTTTTATTTTATGGAATTGAGGGTGCAAATTGAGAATTAAAGGGTCTTTCAAGTGCAAAGTGAGATTAACCCTTTAAAAAAAAAAGACTACATTATATTTTAATGACACCCTTCAAAACAGAAAGCCTAGAAACACAAACATTAACTTACAACATATCCCATCTTCTCAATCATTTCTTTCACCACTTGATACATAGTGGGCCTAGCCTGAAAATCCATCACCAATTTTTGTTTTTCAGAATACCTACATATATCAAGTCAAAATGCCAAACTCAAATTTGACAGCACAATCAGCTCCAGTAAGAAGGAAGCATACAATTTGGACATTGCGCACAGCTGCCAATAGCAACGCACTTGGCATCTCCACTGCAATAAAAGGCAAGATGACTTAAGAATAAAAGAGAACTCAAGCAACAGTATCCGTGCAATGCTGAAAGAAAATATATCCTATTCTAGAAATTAATAAATGCAAACACATACAAACAATAATGGGGAGGAGAAGACCAGTCCCATCTTCGATCTTTAGTACAATTGCAGGATGTGGAGCATAATCAGGCAGATTTCCACCCTGAGGGTTGTTATGGATGCATCGTAAATGTCTGCCATCTCTCATTTTAATCATGAAACCTTCTGCACCACTCTTCACCTCAACTATACAAATAACAAACACAAATTTTACTCTACATATTAATGCAAACAATTAAATCCAGCAAGTGTTCAAAAAATGTAACACTACTACACTACCAGAGCTTAGGAATAGATGCTTGACTGCAATACTACCAGTCTATAATAGGCTTAAAGAATTCACCATTACAATGTAAGAATCTAACATTGTAAGTGATAAGAGCCAAGACCTAAATTTAAAGGAACAGCTATATCCTTTGATTCCTTCTCAATAACACTTTCTGTTTTGAGAACATGGAGTGGAAAGTGATGAACCAACTATTTAAAAGTTAGCTAATGGAAACTATATCAAAAAAGTTTCTGCAATAAGCTTCTGCCAGAGGATTTTGGAAACATGTTCTTCACTTTCTGTTTTTATTCTCTAGCAAAACAAAAATAAAAAAACAATGGCAGTCGCAACCTAGGTGTATTCTCTGTGTTGTTTAAATTATTTTCATTAACAGGGTAATGTTCTCCAGTTCCGAAAATATCAGCAAATAAAATTCCAAAAACATTTACCAAACAAACCAAATGAATATGCATTCGATTCCCTAAAAGAAAAACATGTGGTGATTTAAATTAGCATACCAGCTTCGACCACACTTGAATTCACATAATCAGCATCATTCTCACTGAAATTTTCTGCCATGCTATCATTACCATTTGATGATGAACTGAAACTACCCCGCACCGTCATGCCCTTCTGCAAACGTGCTTGATGACCCATATTAGTCCCACGGCCATTGATCCCTTTGAGTCCCCAGAATCCACTTCTAAGATTTTTGGCCTTCATTAAGGTTTCGTTAATAGATGGGGTGAAAATTCCATTTTGTTTTGCACGGACGGCAGGGCAAATAACCGGTCCTTGTAATGAACCCATCTCAATTCCTTTCAGATCACCAGAAAAGGAAACATCTGTTATCGCGTGCAACATTGGTCACAGTACATATGGTATGGTACTTCAATTAATAGAATTTCAAGTATATCATATATAACCATATATGTGATCACATGCCAAAATTTATTGCACCGCTTCAAAAAAGACAAAAAGGTAGTACATTAGGCCAGATTTTAAATCGGATACAATCTAAAAGAAGGGGGAAACCTAAAATCTGAACAAAAACCTTAGACCACACAGGACAAGAAATATGTGCACATAAATCAAGAGTGGATTTGGCTGGTCAAGTGGCGGATTGTTAGTTGACCAATCAAAGCGGAGATATCCATACCAAGTGTTGCAAGAAGTTTAGGTCTGGTGACCAATAAGAAGTTTGCAGTGAATACTCTCGACATGGGATCTCTTTTTTTGGATATACTCGAAAAACAGACTGATTGTGTAATGATGAGACCAAAAAAGACTACTTGCCTAAAATGTATGATCCTTTCTTGAATGGGCCACATCGTGGCACAATCAAAAAATGGTTTTCCCCGTAGCCCAAGTATTATATTTGGTTATTTACTAAAATCCTCCTTTGGAGAGGAATAATAGATTGTTAGTATAGACGATTTGGGGATCCCCCAACCCCCCCTAGGCACTCCAAACTGCCAATCACAACTAACAGCGGCAGCAGAAACGCCAATATAACCGTTGTAGGAAAGGAAAATCCCCCTTATGTTCCAACCTAACAATAACTAAAGTGCTATGCAGAGCTTTTTTGGTGTAATTGTATATTTGGTAGCTATTTTTGGTCTTCTAAAAATTTAGATTGACAATTCCATTAATCTTGTAATAGTAGTTTACTAAAAGAAAAATATGATCACTTCTATCATATATATATTTATATTTAGTCTTTTTACAAAGGTTTTCATGAGTAAGAAGTAGAAGAGCATGCAGGAAAGGTTCTGCTCCATCATGAATTATTAGTACCTCTATTAGCACAAATTTCATTGAAATTTCACAATAAATATACATCATTTACCCAAGAAAAAAACTTACTAAAAAGTGGATCTATAATTGCCTTAAAACTATTGATATATCTATGTATGTGTGACTGTGGTATATGCTTTTCTTGAAAAATTAAAACAAGATAAATCAAGATATAAATCTACACAATTTAGCATGCAGATCATCTACCTTTAAGTACATATCAGTGATCGTACGCCACTATTACCACATCTGATTTCTAATGTTTTTGAATGTTGAAGACTGGCATAAAAACAGTGTGTGCAATGTTTTCCACATGCACCAACACAGAGGCATATAGATATCTTACAAATTAGGAACTTCTTGTACTAGTATTCTTTGATTTTTGACAGATGAGGAAACTAGATTTTTCGATCTTTTCTATGAGACACACAGAGGTCTCACTGCAGAAACAGGACAGTTCATACTACAAACATAGAATACTCCTGAGGCTTCGGTTAACAAAATTCAGATCCAAAATATTGCTGTAAATCAGCTAGTTCTTACAGTTTAAATAATCTTCCAAATCAAAGACCAAACCATAACTACAAAAAAATCACACCTGACACCTGAAAGACCCCTCAATTGCCACAAACTTGAGCAGTAAAGGGATTACAGTCCCCGATCGTAGCATTAAAGACAAAGAATCAACGGATTTTCGATATTTTCCCGAAAAATTCACAGACAAGTAAAAATTTACCGGCGAAAAGAATCGAGAAAGATCGATATGGAACGAAAAATTCTTGCTGATTTAACAAGAAATTACTGAGGAAGTAAGATCCATCTGCGTTGCATGGCACCTTAGAAGACAATGGCGTGATACCAAAGATATATAAAGTGCGAGAAAGAGGACCGGGTAAAGGAAAGGAGCAGTCCTGTGAGAAGATAAGAGATTCTTCTGCGATCGAGAGAGAGAGGAGAGAGAAAAAAATATTAGAGAAGAGGCCCACTACACCATACACCAAATGACATCACTCCTGTATTTGGAAGCCTTATGGTTCTCCAAGCAAGCTTTGTTGCTAAAAGACGTAAATAACCCTTGTTCCAACTCGTAATGGCTGTGGCGTATTATTAATTTGTGAATCTTTTCTTTTGTGTGAAATCTTAGGTGGCTTAAAAGGTAAGTTGTTTTGGGTAAATTTTGATTAACATAGTATTATTGATGTACAAATAATCATACCCAATTACGTGTTTTGCAAATTTCGTTTGCATTTCTTGAATTTTATCTAAAATATAGTAATTAATAAGATGTGCTATTTTAGATAACTCTTTTTAGAGTCATATTTTTTTCCTTCAACTACCTCTAATATCTCCTAAACACAATCCTTAAAACACTTTTTAAGTAATTTTTAATACTTTGACGCTCCGTTAGTTAGAACTGTCACTTCCAATTGATCTCATTTTTCATCCGACAAACCCTCCACCTCACACCCCTTGTAACTTTTTTTTCATTGTCTCTCTCACCATTAACTCACTTTTTTTCAACGCCACTTTTGTTACCCGTAAGTCTAATTTTCCTCTGCTTACATATTACATACCATACAAATAAACTTCAATCCCACAATACTAATATATCATGTATTTGAATTCATTCCTTTTTTTTTTCTTTTTCCTATAATATCAAGTGCATCTAAGATATTTTTTTTCAAAAGTAAATGTATCTAAGATATAAATAAAAAGAAAATGATAAAACATTCTTAGAAATAGGATTTCGTCTTCTACCACGTCAAGGTGATACTCTATTTATGGAGTGATACACCATTTAATCTCTCCAAATTTTCATAAAAAGTGAGTTTTTTAGAAATTGTATAATCAAACATAATTCATGTTGTGTCTATAGCTAGGTGCATATGAGATACTTATTAAATAAGTATGAATCGTCCTCGAGTTGTGATACGAAAACTTTCGAGTTTAATTTTATTCTCATTTGCTTGATAAGTTGCATTAATTATTTATTAGTCCAAAATTAATAACTGCACTTATATTTAGAGATTTAAAATATGAAAAAATAACAATTGAACATAATTAATGTCAATTAATCCATGTCGCATTTTAGTGATACATCTAAACATGGTAGCTATTGTTATTATTAACAATTATGCTCCGTTTGGTATGATAGAAAAATGGAAGAATAGAAAATTTGAAGGATAAATAAAATATCATATTTGATAAGAAAGAAAAATAAGAAGGATGAAAAAGTTGATGAATTAATTTTTCTTTTAACTCACTAAAATCAATTCCTTCAAAATCGGAAAGAAAGTGGATGAAAAATTAATTATTTGTGTTAAGATGTATCTTATTTGTTTATATATTATGTATAAATTAATTTCATATAAAAATACATTGATAAAATATGTATTATATATATTTTTTTTTTAAAAAAAAAAATTAAAAAAAATTAATTTTAAAATTAATTTTTTTTTTTTATCTTAACTAGGAGCGAAATTTTTTAACTCAACACGATGACACGACTCTAATTCGACACAAATTTTATGACACGAACTTGATTATAAGTCGATACGAACTTGAAAATGACCTTACACGCGAATAAGAAATATAAAAAACTCATAATTTTATGACTCAACACGAATTTGACATGACACGACTCAATTGTCACCCCTAATATTAGACAAAAAAAAATTAGTCATTTTTATTTTTCATCCATCCAATAAAAAATAAAGGAAGAAAAATATATTATTCCTACTTTTCATACTTAAAAAATAAAAAATGTATCCCTTATATTTTTCATCATTCGTATTTCCTATTCTTTCTATCAAAGAGGGTATTAGCGAATTTACATGATTGATGTGGATTATATGAGGAGGCAAGTTGATGACATACTTTTTTTGAAAAAGGGCGGTTCGCGAAAGGGATTGACAGTATTATTCTTCGTCAACCTCTCTTCCCACTAAAGCAACTTCTTCTTATGTAGGACCGGCTACAAATCAGAGTCCCAAGAAAGATGAATTCTTTGATTGCTTTGATTCATTGATCTGGAAATTTTTTATTTCTTAAAAAAGTTACGTGCATTGCTTAGAATCTAAAGAAATAATGTAACTTGGCTTTCTACTTGAGGGGCAAGGTCTTATGGCCCCTTGGCTGAGTGTCTCTGTTTTATTATATAAATAAAATTATATGTTTTGTATTGTCACCCGTCTTACCTAATAAATTTTTGTTAATCAAATACGATTCATGCCTAGTAAGAAAAAAAACAAAAAGATAGCAATTGTTTGTGGTAACGTGCTGGGGTCTCCAAATTTGAGAAAAAAAAAAGAAAAGAAAAATGTGAACGATCAAAATCCATTTTTCCTTATAATTCCCAATAATTACGATGTAACAACCATCGTAAGTAACAACCATCCTAAGCTTTTGAGTAATAAAGCTCATGCTTAAGGGCATTTGTGACTTTTAACTTTTAAGGAATGCAGAGTTTTATTTCATAAGATGACGTCCCGCACCAAGCAACTGACAAAACCGCATGGCCAGCAGCCGAACGATGTAAGAATGCGTAGATGAGTGACACGTTGACAACGATCATCAAAGTCGTCTGGGTTGGATAAGGCTCCTTAAAATATCAAATTTTTTATTAAACAAGAAAAGAAAATAACAATTTAGGGAATTCTGGGCCCTACTATGTAGATTCCGAGGGCCACGCTGAGATGTCCTAATAACGTATCGGTTCAATCAACCGCCGAAACCGCGAGGTATAAGTTGTCGACCATTAAAAAGAAGTTATACTATATCATGATCGATCACAGATATACATGATTGGTTATGAATTTTTCTTAAGCAATTATAATTTATCTCTTATAAGATATAACTTGACATTTAAAAATTATAATGCAGTATTAATTTTAATTTATTATGATTGATCATAACATTTAAAAATTATAACTTATATCTCAAAAAAATTATAATTTAATTTTAGATGGTTGTAATCGACGGTACGGTACCTATTTTGGTATCATAGAATTCTCCTAAGTTATAAATCAAGTTTAATAAAGACGAAATATAAATTTTAATATTTTAAATTTAAAATTTGACAATTTTTTAAAGTTAGATTATAAAAAATTTTCTTCTCATAAATAGTTTTATCAATTGTATCAGGTGAAACGGGTTCATATTGGATCTTAGCGATTTCGTGTAAAAAAATATTTTATTTATATTTAATTCATATCTGACGAGCTATGTCATATCGTGTACTTATTTTGATTTACTTCACTCATAATCGATTCATTTATTAATCGGGTCGGGTCAAGTCTATTCATTTATGAAAACGGATGACGTAATAAAAACTCAAATCCTCTAATTTAATGTCGTGCTTATATCATGTTAACATGTCGTGTCATATTTTGACACATCTACTCATGAATATCCTAATTTCGACATAAATGACTTACCTTTAACTGTATCGAGGGATTAATCGATGTACATATAAGTTAATCCAGACATGACCGTTAAACTTAAAAAAAAAAAAATCAAATGCTGAAAAGAACACATGGTTTTTTTTTTTTTGACATTTTTCATTTTCTGTTTCCTTTGCTCCGGTTCACAATTGAATACACTCTCTCCCTTGGATTATGTCAAATAATTTTTGACACAAAAGGAAATTTATATAAATTTAATAATAAGTTAGTATTAATTTTATATAAATTTAATAGTGATGATACACAAATTAGTTTACACACCATCTGTCAAGTAAGCAGTACAAAATGTAATAAATAAGTAAGAGAGAGAGAAAATAATGTTTATAGTAACTCGGTCAACATGACCTACGTCCACTTTAAATGACAAGGGTCGCCAGATATTTTATTAACTCAAATGTGCAGAGAGAGTTACAAACTTAGAGATGAAGAGGAGAATTGTACTTGACTGAGTATGATGATGTCCCCCAAGTGTTAGTGGGGGTTACAATTTATTATCGTCTCATAACGCATAGTAATTAAATAGTTGTATGACGATCATAATGGATTGAGATGATTTAATAGTAATTAAATTGTTGATCCGGCGGAGGCGGAGGTGGTGACCTCTTCTCAACGAGTGAGACAGTTACAACACTTTCCATAGGACTCGGTCAAAATGATGAGATGAGAGTTGACTCTCTCTAAGTCAGCGAGAATGAGGCTCTTGGAATAGCCCTTGCTCTAAGGGTGAATTGGATGAGACCCTTGAATGACCCTTACTCTAAGGAAGCGAGGAGAAGGCTTTTGGATAACCCTTACTCCAAGGTGGTTAGGATGAGACTCTCGAATAACTTTTGCATGCTCCACTGCTGATGTAACTCCTTGAACTTAATGAGTTTGATCAGGCATAGACCATTTTGGGTATTAGATCTCTTGGAGTTAGGCTTTTAATTTAAATTAAGCTTGTAGCATGAGTTGAGTCCTTGGACTTGACCTATCAAATAGTATGCTATTCTAATAGCAATAATGACATATAACATAGAGTGAAGTTGTGATATTTTTCATTTTTTCGTCTTAAAAGTATTCATAGACCGTACCTAAAGGCATTATACAACAAATAAAATTTTTTTAAAACAATTATCTAAATTCAAAAGAAATGACCTAAAAGTATTCATACAAATTAGTTTTTCAAAATGACTCGAAATATATCGTTGATCATATCTTCATATTAATGGAACTATCATAAAAATATATAAAAAACTCTTTAAAATAACATTATATATACAAATACCTCTGGAAAAAAAAATACTAACATAATTTACTGAAATCTACAATCTTTAAGTAATAAATAAAATATTGCTCGTTTATAAAATTTGCGAATTTATTACCTCTACTACTACTCAATCCAATAACACAACATAATTACAAACTCAACCATCATATTTTCAATCCGCCCTATTCCCGTGTAATAAATACCTCAAGCAAAAAAAATATAACATAACACAATTAAATTCACAATATTTTAGCGATAAATAAAATCAACCAAATCTTGCTAATTTG